CCCTTAATTAGGCTTTATACCATGTTGATTCATCATCTAAATTGAATAACTTCCCATTCATTACATCAATATTTAGATGCATTTAATGTATAAAAGACAATCTCTTCATTGTCTTTTCAAAATTCATGCCAAATAGGTTGTGACTTCTTATAGAGCAACATAGATTGAAAAAGCAATGGTGAGAAGGAAATAAATTCTTTCCTAGATCAGTTGGATGAAATTAAGTTAGGATCATTAATTTTTATAAGATCACTTTTAAAAGGTGATTTTAAAAAATGATGAAGTTGCTGGTATTGCTGACACTTGGAATCAGAGGACAAAAGAGTCATTTCTAAAGTGCTCGTAAAGCCAAATAGTTGTTTTCCAATCATACTTAGTCTCATCTATTAATGGAGGTAGTAGTGGCATCCTTGACCTGCCCTTAGAGAGAGGCTTTGAATTTTGCAATTGTAGAAATAAATTTTTTGACATCCATGAAAATCAATGACGTCTTGCTAATGTCTTTTAATATCATATGAAGTTTTTTTTTTTTTTTTTTTTTTTGAGAGAGAGTCTTGCTGTGTCACTATGGTTCATAACCGGAACAACCATTGCAGAGCCAGAGGAAATTCTTAGAAGACTTCCTTTGGCTGGCCTTTCCCTAGGCATAGCTTTTTTCCCCTGTAATTCTGTGTAATGTTATTTACAATGTTAAATCTTAGCCATGAGTATGACTCATATGAATCTTTCCAGAGAATCACTGAATTGGCATGTGATTGTGATTCACTGAGACAGTTCCTATGCCTCATTTCTAACTTGGACTCTACCTCAATTCACCAGGCCATTTCTGTTTAGTTCTACATCTACTGCAGCCAGTATTTGTATCTTCTACCACCCTCTACTCAGCTTCAAAGGAAAACCCAGGCCCATTTTATATGTGCCTAGTAATCCTTTTTAACACCATCCCCTATCACTTGAAATTATTATTCAGAAAATAGAAAAAAAACTTACTTTCAGGAGGGTGGAGGGAGGAGAAGAGGGAATATCAGTGAAAAGTAAGCAGCATGCTAAGTAAAGTGTATGCTGTTTGAATGAAGTTTCCAGCAAAAAATGAATTTTTCTTGGATAACTTTTATTAATATTATATCCATAGACACAGTTCTACAAATATTCTACTTCAACCCCCAACAAATTTACAATTTAAGAACTAACTACTAGATTTGGAGAGAGATAGTTCTTTGTTTGGAAGCTATGAAGGATAATATTTCTTGGAGTTATGAGTGTAATATGAAATGCTTCTTGGGCCAGGATAGCTAGGGTTTATAGGGTGATGTCTATCTCTAAGTAGCTAAGGTCTTAGACCGGGAGCAGATATAAAGGAAGCCTGGACCAACACTGGTTGAATGTTCTAAGCTTGTATTATGTATTATTCTGGACAACTGGCAAAGACCAACAATAATTCGTAATAGCCAGCTCTATCTGGCACAGGAACTGCTGATGCTGCTCTGATAGTCTATACCCCAAGGATTAGATGTGGGATTCCATAGAGAGCAAGAATCAGAGATTTATAATCCTAATCACTTGGCATTATACTCAAGGCAGGGGGCCTGATAAGGCCCCAGCTGCACCACCATCCACAGAGCTTGTGTCTCTTTCCTGGAGTTTGGTGAGTGGAAATGCTTTAGGCTAGGTTAGGTCAAATCATATCATGTGTGTACCTGGGATGGGAGTCAAGGAAAGTAATAAGTTATCTCAAATATGGTGTCAAACTCTGTACGAGGATCTCTGAGGCAGAAAGGACACATATTGGAGGTATACAGGATCTCTACTCTCTTATATGATATATTCTGTAATTTTCAGAAATGTTCCCTGACCACTCTTCTCTCACTCAACAATCACTCAATTCTCGACCTTGGGATTTAAGATCAACTGCAAGTCAAACTATATTTATGTATAACGCATATTAAATAGTTGATAAATAATTGGTATAAGAAAGGATGTCAGAAAAAAAGGAAAGAGGGAAGAAGCGAGGAAAGTGGAAAGAAAGGAAAATGAGAAATAGGTTTTCTAATTTTCACACAACTTTGTAAGACAATACCAAATAGCTACCATAGACACTTTCAAGATAAAGAACTACGTGGAGAATTTGTTTGAAAGGAATAGTTTAACAGACTGACAATATTGATCTCAAGCTATAAGATTCACTTTTAAAAAGCATAATACCTCTGAGCTTACTTTTTGAAGAATATACAACTTTATTTTTGTTGTGCTTCTAAGGGCACCACAAGAAAATCCAGGATTCCATTTTTGTAGTTTTGGAACCATTACCAAGTTTAAAGATCTATATAGCTAAAAAGCCACATAGGATATGAACAATGCAGCCATTCAAGTTTCAGAATGTTGGATATTTATTTTAATTTTTTTTGAGATGGGGTCTCACTATGTTTATTAGGCTGGTCTTGAACTGTACTCAAGCAATCTTCCCCTCTTACCTCCCTAGTAGCTGGGATTACAGGTAAGCACCACTACACCTGGCTGCACATTTAAAAAACAAACAAACAAACAAAAAATACCTCTAGAATTTGTAAAAGTTATGCAGTCTTTTTCAAGTACCAGGTATTGTTCAAGGAAATGCCATCCACTCAGAACTTAGGAAGAGACAGGATGGAGACTGTGGAGGGATCATTATTAAGAGAGAAGCATGCATTAGCTTATCCTGCACACTCTGACCTTTGTGTAAGAGGTCCTACCTTCAGTTCCTTCTTAACTCCTGTCATTTTAAATTTATGTATGAGCAAATTTGGACATTTTATATGTCTTTTCTTCCTGTGCAACCTGTGATCAATCTCAATGTTGTACTGTTGCTCCTTACTAAACTTTAAATGACTAAACATTGAACATACAAAAATACTTTTAAGACTATGAGATTAAAGGAAATATCCAGGTGGCTAATTTAATCAGACAACAATGCAGGATAGAAGAATTTAACAAAGCTAAATGTTAAATACTCAATTTTTAAGTGAGGGCTTAGACTACTTCTCCAATAGGCACAAAAGATTTGGCAGGAAGGTAGATTTCCTAATTACTTAAATGTCACAATTGAATGAGCTGCTTTCTGAAACATACACTTTCACTTTATTTTTTGAGGACATTACAGAGCCAATTTAGTAGAAGAGCTTGAAAATATCAACATTTTAATTACAAGATTTTTTGGCAAAGCTCATATAAAGAAGATAGTATTTTCACTGCTCACTTTGTGACTGAAAACATGTTATCAAAGGTTCATGTGGGAGGAATAATTCCCCAATATGTTCACACACAGAAGTGGAAAGCACTGGGAGAAACAGGCAAATACATGCTTCTAACCTCTGTGGGACTGTATCTACTGAGTCATTAATACTCAGGACCTCGATTAGGTTTCCTATAATACCTTATTCTTCTCATAACTAATTTTTGCAGAGAGCACAGGTAGAATCCTATTATTCTGATAACTATGCTCTATCAGAATTTGTCTGTATATACACCAAATTTTAGCAACTCACAGCAAAAACTAAGTTCTCCTCTATTAATGCTACTTTCTCAAATCTGATAGATCTAGCTCTGTGATTTGTTTTCTTTATGAGTGACTATGATTTTCCTTCCTCTACCACTTGCCCTACAATTATTGCCAGTACTGTTTCCAGTCCAATTAACACTCTTGTTTCAATTTTGACAACTTTGCTCACCTTTCACAGAATATCTACTTTGGATTTTCTTTAAAATAACAGTTGCCATGTGAAATGGAGATTATAAAAGTTTTTAATGACTTTATAGAGCAGCATTAGAATTGTTTGGTGGAAAAGAATTAGATATGATGCAAGAGATTGTTCTACTAGACGTAGATGCTGCATAATAAACTTTATAGAAAAATGTTGAGATTGCCATTTTATAAGAAATGCTTTCTAGAATGTTTAGAAAGGAAATCACTATTCAATGTGGAATTTAGACATGTGACCAAGGTTTCCTTGGAACTCTATGTACCTAAACTTCACACTTTATTTTTTCTTTAGTAAGTGTCCTTGATCGTACCCAGATCATTCTTATGTAAGTGAATTATGTAGAGCAGGATGTAGATTCACAGTTAGGAACTTTTATCTGTCTAATGGTTAATGTTCTCTTGAACTAGATTATGTATGTGTTCTCTGTTGACCAGTGGGTTATTAGATTCGCAAAGGCAGAAATACATATTGCCTATCATTGCATTACTAACATTAAGTACATGACCAGAGCTCAGTAACTGTGTGATACCATTGACAATATATTTTGTATCTAATTATAAATAGAGTTTAGTTTTTATCTTCTTCCTCCTACATATCGGTACCAGGTAAGATTTTTAGAGAGCACCCTGTAGCAAAGATTAGGAAGGAATTTAAATCACATAAACATACATCTCAAACCCAAACCTCTCTTGATGTCTTACTGTCATGGTTTTAACTTAGGATGCCCTGGATTCCTGTCAGGAAAAATGATATATCTGGTAATATCAGGAGTTTAGAGTCAGTATTAATTACTTACACTTTACATTTTAACTCCCAGACAGCCATTAAAAACAATTCTCCATATCTGGGTGTTTCAGAAACTTACTTATATTCTGATACCAAAAAACAAAAAACAAAACAAAACAAACAACAACAACAACAAAAAACCCTAGGTCCTACACATAAGTCCTATGTACTCAGCATGAGGTTGTTCTTTGCAGTTTCAAACTTGGAAATATTTCCAATAAGAGGGAGATTTTTTTTTTGTTTTTATGACCTGAATATGCTATTGAAAACTAGAACAAATCACTAAGAGAGTCAGACTTGTTTCATAGTAGAAACCTTTAAAGAAATGAAAATCAGTCATATAAGAAAAGGCAGGGCAATACTACTCTGCAGGAAAAAGCAATAGATGTCATGTGAGACGAGATATTGAGAACATGCTGTGAAAAAATAGATTTTTTCTTTATTTACATTTTTCCAGGGCAATTGCTTCCTAGAGTTATGGTAATTCCTAACAACAATAACTTCACCACCTTCTTTTTCACATTGATGGATCTTCCAGGACTGGAGACTGCTCATTGCTGGACAGCTATTCCTATCTGCTTGATCTATTCTTTTTCTGTGTTGGGCAATGTTACCATAATGTACATTATCAAGTTCACACCCAGCCTCCACTCACCCATGTACCTCTTCCTCTCTATGCTCTCAATGGCTGATCTGGGCCTCTCAGCTTCTACCCTACCTTCAATGGTAGCTGTCTTTCTCCTGGACCAGCGGAAGATGGGAGCTGCAGCCTGCTTTACACAACTTTTCTTCATTCACACTTTCTCAGTCATTGAATCAGGTGTTCTGTTGGCCATGGCTTTTGACCACTGTGTGGCGCTCCAAGAGCCCTTGCGCTATGCCACCATTCTCACAACCAAGAGCACTGGGGCAATTGGGCTGGCCATCTTGTCTCGAAGTGCTGTCCTCCACTTGCCCTTGCCTGTGCTCCTTGGAAGACTGCAATTTCAGCCTACAAATGCTCTGTCTCATTCTTACTGTGTTCATCCCGATGTTCTAAGGCTGACTAGTTCCCGGACTCTTGTAAACAGTGGCTTTGGGCTCTTTGTCATGCTTTCCACACTGGGGATGGATGCTGTGCTCATTCTTGTCTCCTATGTGCTGATCTTGAAGATAGTGCTGAGCATTGCTTCCAATGCTGAGCGGCTCAAAGCATTCAACACTTGTATTTCTCACATCTGTGCGGTACTACTTTTTTATACCCCACTAGTTAGCCTGTCCATAATCCATCGTTTTGGGAAAAAGAAGCTACCAGCTCAGGTATACATGCTTCTCTCCTATCTGCACTTTCTTGTGCCTCCAATTCTCAATCCAATTGTCTACAGTGTCAAAACTAAAGAGATTCGGATATGGATTCTAAAGATGCTCCACCCCAAAAAGCTCTGAGTCATGCAAATAAAATCTTGTTGGTGACACTTCAATACTAGAAGAACTGCTGACTGAAGACATCTCAAAGTGGGCCGAGTATGACTTTCATCTCATTTATCAGCCAATTAATTATTGAAACACACTGACTGAAGTACAATATAATATTTTCCTAGCCATCAGAATTTTCCCTGTTCAACAAGAAAAAAACATATTTCTCATTCTGCAAAAGTCAATCTCAACTTTATATGGCTGAGGTGTTGTAAGGGAAACTTCACAGTCTCTTAAGATATAATTAACATGTAAAGGCAAGCAGATTATAAGAGTAGGATGCAATAACATCTAATATCTACTCCAACAAAAACCCTAGAATTCTATAAAAAGTTAAGCTCAAGAGGACCTCACTTGGTTGTACTTTTGGAAAATTTGGAAAATATGTGTAAACTATGTTTTTTTCTAATTTGCATAATAACTATAGATGTAAATGACACTGAAAAATATAAACCAAATAAAATATTTCAAAATTATATATGTGTTAAAGAAATAAAGATATTTATTACTGCAATATAACGTCTCATGACATAAATATTATGCAGCTTGGTATTTCTTTAAGCTCCCTAACTTATTAAAGATGAATAATGCTTCTAACTATCATCTTGCCCTCTGAATAAAGTTAAATAGCTGCTTCTCCTTTCCTAGTAGATATATTAAAAATTGTGTACTTTTATAAACTACTAAGATGCTATATATTTTGAACAGCAGACTTTATATACAACTCAATTTCCTTCAATCCTTTAGGGAAGATGAATAAAATAAGCCAAGTAGATACCCTGAAAAACTATTATATAAGAATTAGCAAGACTCTTACAAACAACTCAGAGCTAGAGAAATTGATTTTCTCAATCTGTCATGGTCTTTTTATTTCTGGACTGAATTTTCAACTAACCACTCTGACAAAAATTTCTCTATTTACTCTATAACCACTAATAGGTCAATTAGCTCCTTCATTTAAGTGCTAATACTTTGAGTATAATTTTTCTATAGTTATTTATAATGGTATGGTAGAAAGGAGAAAAGACACATATTGCCAACATTTTATTTTCCTCCTAAATAGTCTTTCATTGAAAACAAATTTATTCCACTTCACTAAGCTACCTCCTATTCAAAGTTTAAAGAAAATAAGAGAATGCTGCTTTCTCAGTATAAAAATTTTAAATCATCATGGGTAATAGGCTTGTAAATATAATTCTCTAGAGTGTCACAGGTGACTTTCTGGTAAACAGCAAATTTTACAGTGATAAAACATAAAAGGGGGGGCTCATTTGGTGGGTGGTATTTAAGACTTTTCATTGAAGTAGTAAGTTTTAAATGGTAATTGAGAAAGATGAATAATGCCTGTAACTATCATCTTGCCCTCTGAATAAAGTTAAATACCTGCTTCTCCCTTCCTAGTAGATATATTAAAAATTCTGTACTCTTATAAACAAAGTTGAGGTTTAAACTCAAACAGTTTAACACCAGGGACATTGTTGTAAGCCATGTGTCCATTACTTTCCAATGATTATACTGTTTCACTTTATTTCACAGACACAGAAAAATAAATAATTATTCAACTTATGTATATGCTGGAAACTATCTTCAACTCAGGACTTTATGATGTTAAATACTGTACTCTCAAATAGAGCAATTATTGCTTTAAAGTATACAATACAGTGGATTAGTAATTGAAAAACTCAGACTTTACCGGGCCAAAAGATTTCCAATCGCAATGATGTCGCTTTAGCACATTGTAAAACTTGTTTAGTAGTGACATGGTTAAAATTAGTAGCTACCAAAAAGCCCATGGTTCCTGTTTTTTTTTTTTTTTTTTT